TCATATGTAGATAAATTTCATATAGATGTACAAATTGAAGTACTATACAAAAATGTGTCATATTTATACGTTTAAAGATCACACTTACTCCGTTCTCATGGAGATAATGCACCACACTTGTAACAGTGTAAATGACCTCGGCAGCTTCTCTTTCGGTGAAATTTCGTCTTTGTAGCAAACGATCGAGGAGTTCACCACCGCGTAAAAGTTCCAATACTAGATAGACTCGTTTATCATCTTCATGACCCGCTCTCAATGTTACAATGTGAGGATGTCTACCGTATCGTAGTAGAATTTCTATTTCCTCTGTCGGATCTCGTTTCGATTTCTCAATCACCTATTTCGTTAAGTCATTTAGCTAACTTTCTTTTATTTCGCATATCTTTTTACAGATACATTTTATTTCAACTTTTATACAGGACTTTACCTTTACAGCATACTCCATCTTGGATGCTATGTGAACAGCTAAGTAAACTACACTGTAGCTTCCTCTGCCAATTTCATGTTTAAATTCGTATTCGTCAGTTATGGAAACAGGATTAACATAGGTTGGGAAAATAGCACTAATGTTATCATAGTGTCTATATTCATGAGATATAACGCGATCCGCTTCGGTAAGTAAACAGGGTGCGACAAAACTGAATCCGCGAAATAATTCATGAGCATTTGCGCTAGGTGGTACTCCAGGAGAATCTGAAAAAATATGCCATAATATCTTTTATAATTAAGATATCAGGATATGATTTTATATAATTATTAATTTGATTCTATTGACAACTCTACTCTTACGTTCTTCTTTTTCTTTCTGTTTTTTCAAAAAAGAGACTTACCTTTAGGTGTTTTACAAGTAAATTCACTATCGAAGTAAAATGCATTGTCCTCCCTAACAGCTGGTTTAAACGGTGGTCTTATCTCTTTTTTATAAAGAGCGTCCCAATCAATGGTAGCAAAAAAAATGTGGCTTTTAATCTCTTCCACCCCACCTAAGAAATAAAAAGATTTGCATGTAAAGCAACTCTACACGATCACATACATATGATAGCAGGTATGCGTTACTTAAGGCTCCATTATTTCTTCAAAGCATGTAAAATGTGTAAGGCAAGCCCTTTACCAGATCCAAGACGATTTGCTGGATTCCTTTTGAATAATACTCTCAAAAGCGCTTGCGCTTCTGATGAAAGATTGTGCGGCATACCGAGTTTAGCTTTCAAAATTTGTGTCATCGTTTCTTTGCGATTTGCACCTTGGAATGGGAGAGCGCCTGTCAGCATTTCAAACTAAAAAATTTAAAAAGCGTCACATAATGCTTTTTGACTTTTTTTTATAGCTATGATAATTTACATTTAGTGATCATATCCAGATGTGATATAAAGTTCAACTCTAACCATTAAAACACCAAAACTCCACCAATCCGCTGTAAAAGTATGTCCTTTTCTGTTAACAATTTCTGGTGCCATATATTCAACAGTGCCACAAAATGAATATGCTTTCGAATCGTCTAAAGGTTGCTTGCTTAAGCCAAAATCTGTCAAAGATATATGGCCTTCTGTATCTAACAAAATGCTATCGCGTAAAAAAAAAGATCAAATATTTTAATAGCCAATGCTTGTTAAAGAAACATATGATATATATATGTATAATAGTAATATGTAAACAATACAAACTTTTCAGGCTTCAAATCCCGATAAATAATTCCGAGTTTATGTATATGATCCAATGCAAGTGCAAGTTCAGCCAAATAAAATTTGACATCCTCTTCTGTAAACATTACCTGAAAGATTAATTATACTGATAATTACAAATGTATTTGAGAGTTTATTCCAATGTTGTTATAGTGTGACAGTTATATCGCCATTACCTCAGCTGAAAATGTATTTCGCATAGATATAATTTTCATCCAAAGAATATCGCGTTCTCGAAATCGCGAGAGAACACACGCGAATATCGAAGACCTGCTCAGCTGTTCGAGTTAGAAAAAAAGGACAACACAGAGAGACAGACGCGGTGATATCGACGAACGTAAACAGCGGCAGCGAAAATGGATAATAATTAGCGAGGCGTTTAAACTGCATTCATTTATCGGAACATGTGTCAAATAATCCATTGCAGTCAACCATAATATTGCACATGCTGTAACTAGGGAATTAGATGCAACTGCCGCATCTTGAGAAGAAAATTAAACCACAGAATCACGTATATCTTAAATCGAGATTACGAAGCCTTTTTTGAATGGCCGAAAACAAATCATATTTTCTCTGGAAATAAGATCGAATAAGTGCTCGAAAGAAGTGAGTGACTTCTCCGTTGGCTCTCATTATATTAAGTTGTAAATCTAACGCGATTGAAATAAAAATTTTTTTTTTCGTGTTGAGTCGATCATTGGTACTGGCTACAACCATAACCATATCACAATCTAAATCTCGTAATAATCATCAAAATAGGTTTATTCTTTTTAGCTAAAGTTCTTCATTTTTCTTCCTTCTCTTCACATTGGAGAGAAGAGTTAAACCGTATAAGAAATTCAGCTAAAAAGGACAAGACTCATGTTTCGTCGGAAAACAATATTTACTTGTGTTCTCTTATGTTAATTGTGGAGAAATGTGTCATGATATATATAGCGATTTGCAAGCAACAATCTTACCTCTTTAGACAATCTGGAAAAGAGATCGCCACCTCTTAGAAAATCGAGAATTAAATAAAGTTTTCCTTCGGTTTGGAATGCATAATGCAGCCGGACAATAAATGGATGTTCCACATCTACTAATATATTTCTTTCCATTTTGGTTCTAACTCTATCACGAACTAAGAAAAGTGGATAATACAATAACTACAATAATTTGAGATACTTGCAAATATTTTAAGATACCTTTTAAAGTTGCCTTCTTCAGAACTTTCATAGCGTATAGAGTCCCGCTATCTTTTCCAACAACTTTTCTTACTAAAAATACCTATAAAAGTATTGAAGAAGTAAAACAAAATATGTTTGCTATGGTACAAAGTATCAAAAAATATTTAAATTTATATATGCACTTTGCATTTATTATTCTTACTTTGCCAAAGGATCCTTGGCCAAGGACTTTTAATAATTCAAAGTGAGAGGGTTCAGCTTTCTCATAACCATCCCTTGTCATATCGCGTACTTCAATTTCGTGAGATTCCGAGCAACCATTTGATCTTTCAATTAAATTTCCTTGAGTGATCATTGTTTCTTCCTGATTTTCAGCTGGAAGAATCTCTGTACTTTGCTAAACAGAAGCAAAAGACAGAAAATGAAGGTATTTTTCAAGGTGAGGTATTACAATCTATTATAATGTTAAAGTAAAGAAAAAAGAAACACAAAAAAAGAACAAGAATTCTTCTGAAAAAGTGACAGTGATTTGGAATATCAAAGAAAATTACAACCCACGAATTACAACTCAAAAACATTGAGAGAAATTGAGTTTTACCTTTTCATTTGTACGATGCTCCGTCCAAGGAGCCGTTAGAGTTGCCAACGGCATTATATCTAAAGTTTTGTTTATTTTCGGGATTGCAAACGTTTTGTGAAATTCTTATATATTTATTAAATTGTTACTAACGTGTACAAGTGTTTACTGCAAAAAACAATTTTATTAGTTGACTCTGATTAACAAACCAACAGTAAAAACCCACAGTCAACTATTAATCACTACCATCACTTGCTACTTGTAACCACTCGTATGCGTGTAGTTCATACATAATACACATATATATATTTATACAGATATATATATATATACATATATATATACGCATATATAAATACGCATGCGTATATACACATATCTATTATACGTATATTTATATATTACCAGAGAGGAACTTGAGAGAAGCCATGCCTTTTTCTTGTTACCATCGAAATCGCCCATACACTACCGCTACATCCATTTTCAGTTTGGAAACTACATGACTACGTACATTTTCTGACACTATCGATAAAATCGTATTTGATCGTTGAAAGAAAATGTGGTTCGCGTTTGTACTAAATCCTCAGTGGGTTGATTGTGAATTGTGAAAGGAAGTGACAAAAGAAAGTTACAAAAGTGAGCAAAGATTACTAGCTATTGACCAATTAAATTATAAATACTTCAGTGATAATTTACTCACTTTTGTAATTTTCATTCTCATTTGAAGATACAATATACAATGTAATCGATTTCCAGGGGATCTGTATCTTGAAATGAAAGTTATAAAAATGAGCGAATTTACTAGAATACTGATTATTTCATTGGTCAACACCTAGTAAATTTGCTCGCTTTTGTAATTTTCACCTTGTTTGAAGGTACAGAATCGACCCACAGAATAAATGCCGACTATTTATAGGAAGTATAGTTTAATTTGAACGAGAAAATTTTAATTTCGCATCTCCTACATATGTAAATAAAAGTTGTTAAATTTTAATAAACAGAATTGAAAATTCAACAAGTTAATGTAGTAAATTTTGTTTGCGTGTGTGTGTGTGTGTGTGTGTAATATTTATCTTATCACAGTCAGAAATAGTTCCTCGAAAAGACATCGTTTTGACGCTGCAGCACCACATCACAGCCAATAAGATGACAAGATTCTAATCCAGCTAGCAATCCAGCAGGAAAATTGAAATTTCATCAATGAGGACAAAAAAATTTTGATTCCTTTTGTTTTGATTGATCAAACTTCAATCTTTAATCTCATTCTTTAATGCGTAATCTGATTCCGGCCTAGGCCCAATGTCCACGATGCTAGAATTCGGTTCGAGTTCTCGAGAAAATGTGTAGCCAATCAGCTCACAGTTTTTAACCGACAAATTGATTGGCTACACATTTCTCAGTCTGAGAATTTGAACCGTGTTCTAGCAACGTGAATACACGGCTTAAGCCCGGATCTATCACAGATTTTTAAGAGGGCAGACGGGAAAAAAGTTTTGTTTCAGTTTGATTTGGTAAAATAAGTGTTGTTATAGGTGGTTGTTGATGTAATTTTATTTTGATGTTTAATTCGTTAGTGTCGGAAATAAGTTGCCAATCTTTAAATTGATAAAGATATCTATAAAGATATTACTTAGTAAAGTACATGAAAAGAATGTTAATTGACACAAATGATGTTCATGATTGAACTAATATTATAAATCATATTTTAATTGATTTAAACATGCCGTGCTGGTATTACGAAAAGAAAGAACTTCGCAATACACCATCTATTCAAGATGGTATCGATTATGACACGGAATGTAGATATCGAAAAGAAGGTGCACGTTTTATAATAGACACTGGTACAAAAATGGATTTAGGTTATAACACGATGGCAACGGGTGTTGTTTATTTTCATCGATTCTACATGTTTCATTCATTCAAAAACTTTCCGCGATATGTAAGTGCATTTTATATATACATAACATGTAACTATGTGTATATATATATATATATATATATATAGCCTAAATTAACTATATATGTCGACATTTGTATCCATTAAAATATCATCTAAGACTTAAATTATTATGACATATAGGTAACTGCTTGCTGCTGTTTACTCTTAGCTGGAAAAGTTGAAGAAACTCCAAAGAAATGTAAGGATATCATAAGGACTGCCAAAACTTTAGTGTCGGAACAAAAGTTTATGACGTTTGGAGAAGATCCTAAAGTAAGTTTTTAAAAGAGATGTTTCAATATTGGTAATATACAATGTATCAAGTTTGTTTTTTTTTTTTTTTTAGGAAGAAGTTTTGATCTTGGAGAGAATTTTATTGCAAACTATTAAATTTGATCTGCAAGTGGAACATCCCTATAGTTATTTACTAAAATATGCAAAGTGTCTGAAAGGTAATTGTAAAGTTGTATTTTTTTTTTACTATAGAATTGTATAGAACGCCGTTAGAGATGTTTAAAATATATAGATATTTCTAATGAAAATTTTGTTCCATTTCTAGGTGATAAAAACAAGTTGCAAAAGATGGTTCAAATGGCTTGGACATTTGTTAACGATAGGTATATGAAGTTATAAATTAATAATAATATTAAAAATATTAACTACAATGCACATACATGTTATTTTTGATATATAATAAGTTTTAATATTTTTAATATTTTTGTTCCAGTTTATGTACCACTCTATCACTGCAGTGGGAGCCAGAGATCATAGCCGTCGCTCTAATGTATTTGGCAGGAAAACTAAGCAAATTTGAAGTAGTAGATTGGATTGGAAGACAACCAAAACATTTACGCTGGTGGGATATGTTTGTTGAAGATGTGACTATGGATCTTTTAGAAGGTGATCTTGTACAATTTTCATCTTAAAAGATTTGTTCGCGTCGCATGCTCTAACATGCTCTAAAATGCTCCTACCAGCATTTACTCACTCTAACGCGCTCGAAGTGAGTAGGAGCTATAGCAGAAATGCTGGAGCATGCTGGAGCATGCGACGCAAACAAACTTAAAGTATCTTTATCATTACTTGTTGTAACAGATTAGTAATAATACATTAAATGTATTTCTAGATATTTGCCATCAAGTATTGGATTTATATTCACAAGCTAATAATGCCAAACCACCAGATTCGCCACCTATGATACCATCCAGCGAAATGTGTACTGTTACTGCTACTACTGTCGAATCTGCATCTAATACACCAAATGGTAAGTAATACAACGGTAATACAGTATTGACAATCAGAAATGTATTATATGTTGGAATTAATTCGTAGCGTTTTTTAATAAAAGAATGTTATTTATTTCACATGAGCATTAAAAAATACATTAATGAAAGTACTTCCCATCACTTGTAAAACGCTACGAATTAATTCCAACACCTAATATCATTTATAGCTCATTTGATTAAAAGTTATATTTTAGTGTAATGGTTAACGAATGTTGCAGTAACACCTGGAAAATCCTCCAAAATGGAAGTATCAACGGTTTCTGCAAATGGATGTCCATCTACAGATGTCACAGACACAATAAAACCAATAGATACTTCAACAGCACACTTCCCTACATACGCGGCAAACTTTGCGTCTAACAGCACAAATTATCCACCAGCATTTCCACCTACCAATGTTTCGGTTCCTCCTCCTCCTGTAAATACAATGAATCATATCGTGCCAACGATGCATCATATTGGATCATCCGCTGCTATTCGTCCTACACCACCGTCAGCACCGACTGCCAATCAAACTTTTCAACCATATTCCTATCCAACAAACGCATCATATTTTTCAGCAAATAATCCAATTCCACCGGCTGCACCGCCACGTAACTATTATCCACCGCAAGCATAACGGAAAATAATATATCGCGCGTCTAATGTAAGTTGCGCCAGCGCAATTATCTTAATTTAAGATAAACATTAGATTATCAAAGACATTACTAATTTAATTGTAAATTTTGAGTATGTGTGTATTGTATATTTGCGATGTTATCAACAGCATATAATTGTATAAACTTTTTTTTGTACTATAAATGAAACGATAGTTCTTAACTTTTTTCTTTCTCCACATAATTATTAATATATAACAAAACAAAAAGAATTAGCGTTCGATTTATACTTGATTATTATTGATCGATAGAAGGAAGAATGAATTAGAATATTTCACATGTAAAGATTGCCTTTACTAAAAGGATTTTCCTTAAATTTGGGTTGTAATTTACAAGGTATTTCATCAGTTAAAACTTGTAAAATTGGTTCTGCACATTTGGAATCTAACACAAAACTGTCAATATACAATATATATAACTTAGCTGGTTTGCCAGTAAGTTCAGCATAGGATAAGACTGAAACAAGTAAATAAACAATGTCAATTCCATTGATTTTTACATAATATCCTTTGTATTTGGTACGTGCGTTTCATGTATACTATGTGTAAATACCAACCTCCTGCACCTACTCCAAATACAATATTTGGTTGTTCCAATGGTTCAATCCCACATTTTGAGACGTTCACTGATTTAGTAGCCAATATTCTTAAAAATGAAGCAGTCTCTGGGACGCTCGTACTTTGAAATTGCGATATATGATGACACAATATTGAAACTGTGTTTTCTGAACTTCGTAACAAGTCATATATCTGTAAAGATAAAAAAAGATACATATTTCTTTAATTTATAAACTGTATCTTAAAAGAGATAAAAGAGATAGGTAGATGAATGTTATAAGCTAATCAGTACATACCTGATTTACAAATTTTCCAGCATTTTTTGTATCAAAGAGTGGTAAAATTACACACACATATATTTGTTTGTCAATTTGATAAATAACTGAAACTTTTTTATGATTTTCATTTTCTATGATACATGCTTCTTCCATTTTGGGACATAAACATTGTTGCACAAATGCTAAAATAAAATAATTGGTCTAATAATATAATATATAACAAAAACGTAAGACGATAAAAAGAGTATTAATATTACGAATTAATGGATCTCCTTCTATTATGATGAATTTTTGTATACATTCTGGTTTATCTTTCAACCAGCGAACGTATAATTTCCTAAAATTTTAATCATTTTTGGATTATTTTATGCATAACAATAATAAGTTAAAGGGTGAATAACAATCTGTCTGTGACATCATAATTTTAACTCACGTAGAATGTTCTATATTATCAGCTGGTTCGTATTCATCCTCGTCATCCCAAAATGCTCGTGATGCTGGAAATATTACTTCTCCGAAGTGACTAACCATTTTTAAATTAAATATCCTATAAAAATAAAGAAAAATTAAGATGTCGAATTATAGTTAATGTTTTTTTAAATCGTATGTCGATAGTCTTCTTATAAAACGATTATTAATCATATAAATTATATTAATAATAACCTGTTAAACTGCAGAATTAGAGCCGGAATCGTCTTATCTGCGTCTCACGCAAAAAATGCTGATACAATATATAAATTATGACAGCGTCAATTTTAATCATGTGATCGGATTCAACAGTTGAGTGAGCGCTCACTGTTATTGATGTATTCTTCCAGATCTAAAATGCTGATTGGTCTAAAAGAATAACAGCGAGCGCTCACTGTTGAGTCCGCTGAAAGCAGCCATTCTATCACTAAAGGTGCTTTTTCATGCTGACGCTTAAGCTCAAGGTTCATTTTCAGCGTCAAAATTGATCACGTGTTCAAAATTGACGCTTGATATTCGTCAGTTTCTATCAAGTGACTTATTTTGGCGCCGAAAATGAGCAACGAACGTTGGCATGAAAAGGTACCTTAATATATACCTCTTAAACTAATACAATCAGTGCAGGAACAGAAAACTAGTGACGTCCTAGAATATTTCTTACTTCAATAGGGATTTTTGAACACCATAAATGATTTCGTGCAGTGGCTATCGCTAAGTATCATAACCTTGTTCTGAATTCTGATTAACGCGACGATTAACATAGTATATGTTATTCATTGAATATTTTGAAACAATTTTTTGTTAAATTTCATTTTCGTATATTGCGTTGCGTGCATCCAGTACTATCGATATCCAAGTGAGTGCCGTCTTTTTCCCGCCGGTTTCGTCGCCGTCGTCGCCGTCGCCGTCGTCGCCGTCGTCGCCGTCG